CAGATACCAGAAGAAAGACCTCAAGTGCAAAGGATTAATATCTCCTTAACGAAACCTCGGACAACATTTTCGCTAAGGAAAAAGTTGTTTCAAATCACCCCCCGAACCACCCCTCAAAATGACCTCCAACATTTTTGGGACGCCCTGTATATAATCTCTTTGATTTCCACCAACACTGTTCACGATTTATGTAGCGCGAGAGCGATCTTCCTTCGGCTTCGGTTCGAGATCAAGGTCGCTACCTGCCCCGCTGTTGTCACTTGAAAGCAACGACTACCGTCGTAAGGAACAATGTTAGAAAAGAAAAAGTGGTTAAATAAGAACCATGAGAAGAACGAGAACGAAAAGTGGGTAGAGGACGCCTCGAGGCTCGCTCGGGGCGCTTATATAGATTCGTTTTAAGGCTTGAAGAATTATCTACAGATGTTATGTATACATGTTAATAATATTAATAACAATAATAATAATGCTAATAAGAACGAGAATAAGAATAATTACGATAATGACGACAACAATAACGATAACAATAGTGCAGAAACGAATTAACGTTACGACGACAGTCGTCAATTCCTTTGGATCGGTTAACGATTGGAAATAAAGTACACGTGTTACGGGCTGTCCTTGATAAAGCAAAGACACCAATTTGCCATCCTTTCGATGTCTATTCTCTCTAAACCGTGCTGGAATTTCAACTTCGAGATTAATGGTCTCGAATTGGACTATTCCCATAGTATGTGTCGATTAATAACGCAAGTTGCTATTGAAAGAACACCTGAGGAACGAAAAAAGCTTCGATTGAAATTGAAGCATTTGTGAACGTGTGTGTCTACACGATCATTTTTATTCGTAGACTCGATTCTACGAATATACGTCTTTTTTCGTCGATATCAGACCTGGGCACATTTTATTTGAAATAACATTTTACTTTTTTTATTTTCCGCGTCGTTACTTGGTAATAACCGAAATGATGAATTTTTGAACAGGAAGTATTTACAGTAAGTTTTGTGATAACAACGTTACTATTTATACAGTAATTATTAATTACTAATTAAATATTTACTTGCAGTTTCTAAACACTCATGTGTTATTTACTAATAGAAAATTTACAATCTTTAATCTGCTATATTTGTCATTTATATAAATCATTGCCACATCGTGTATGATAATTTAACAATTAATATACAATTGCTAATACACAAAATGCCAATAAAGTAGATACATTTTGCTTTTGAATTATTTTCATGTTAATCATTTTAATGATACCAAAAGATTTGCAATTTCATTTATCAAAAACATCGAAATTATTTTATTATTTCGAACACGGAATGTTAATTTAAAATTATTTAGGAATCATTTCCAGCAGCTGATGACAAGGCCTCATTGGTTCCAATAAAATTGAACTAATATTTCAAGTAAGGTTACTTCAAAAGTGTTCAGGCCTGAGCGACATCCTCCATCTTAGGAATCGAAATCCCTAAAATTTCTTATTGCTCAACCGCTATACATGAATTCGAATTAGGAAAAGAATATCCCGGCATCCTAATTTTCCTAACAGATAGAGGGACTATAGAAAGAGGATCTATAGTTAAATATTTTTGTTTCTTTGGTTTTCGTTTCTTTTATAACAACGACCAATAATAGTTTATTGTAAACTATTATTACAAACTTTTATAGTACCAGATATTACAAACCATTTATTATAAACTGGTTATAAACAAAATGGAACACTTTTCATGCGTCAACGTTTTGGGTACGATCGTGTTAGGTTCGTCCTCCCTATTCGATATTTCGTCCATCTTTTTCTCTCGACAATTCGATTAATTCTCGAGTGACAATATCGCCGAACGAAGTCAGCGAAGAGAAATGCATCTTGATCACGGTCTCGGCCAGAAAGGTATCGAAAGCACGGTCGATCCCCTCGACCTGTAAAAATGCTTCTTCACGCCCACAAGAAGAGGATCCTTTTAGAACCTAGTATTTCTTTAACTCCAATAGGAGGTAAGAATACCGAATGTTCATTTCTTTTTGTTGATTTGCTTCTACAAATATCACCTCTGCCTACACTCTAACTGAACTATCTCCCAAAACAATTTCGAGTGTTTCGACGTGACTGTAGCTTCGAGAAAAGTGCATCGGTAGTCGTGATTGAAATATAAATTACAAACAAAGGAAGACTTTTTTTCGATACACGAGTTATCGATCGCCAATGGAACAGACAGACACGTAACTCTTCGTTTTGTTTCACTTTTCTTTTCATTTAGTCGAATTTTACGCTGAAAATTCATTTTTTATAAAAAAAGAAGTGCAGTGTTATGGAGAACGAAATTTTAAGTGAAATAGACCCGAAGGTAATCCGTCGAAACGTATTTTATTAGATGCAGAAAGTAATTCTGTGACTTTATATCCAATCATTTACAACTTTCATTTGAGTAGAAATATTTAATCGTTGTTTTGTTATTATATGTTAGGTTGTAAAGCTTCTAAGTTGTCGATCGGGTTTTCATTACAACGAATCTATAGACCAATCTATAGACGTCGTAATAGAGATCAGGTTGAGAATTTAGAAAGTTCATACTTTAATTTGCCAAAATGACGAATAAATATACCTGTTTAAATCAGAGTTGTAAATAATAGAAACAAAGAATTAATTTCTACACCCAATTCTACATTCACATTCTACGAAAATTCCTACATGTAAAACAACGGGTTTTCAATTACATTTTAAAATATATATTATCGAAGAACAAAGTAATAAGTATCTTTTTTGAAAATACTTGAAAAATGAACCCTGTTAAGTTAAACTATTGGTATTCAATTAGTCACAAATTAAGAGAAATCGTAGTATCTAAATTGTATCCCATCTTTATAATTTGCATTAAAAAATAATAAAAAAAGAATGACCAGAATAACACTTATTAACAATTTCGTCCGACTTGGCGCCACATTTTTTATTTATATCTTCTATAAGCAAACAAAATACACTCGTCGAGTGAATATTCGTAATTAGGTAACAATTACTCTTTCTTTCATTCAGATTTTTTAACCCTTTACCACAAATTAGTTCCAATTTTATTTATTACACTTTCCGTGACAAAAACAAAGAACTTTGGAACGAAATTAGACAGCCTACAAATTCTTATAGGAACCGTAATTAAATACTTCTAGAATAAAGGGCGAATATAAAGAAAGAAGTAAACAAATTTTACAATCTGAAAATAAATGAATCGAATGTAATCGTATATTTAAAAAAAAAAACAAAAACAACGATAAGTTATAGATCAATTTAAAAGGTGCATTTGGAATTGGCTACCACAAATAGTCTTTGTATTATTATCAAACATGATCAAAGTTTGACCAATTTTGTAATGCGAAAAATTTGTTGACCTCAATCTCTATATTGTTCATAGATAAGAATGTTGTTTTTTCTAGTTGTTTCATAATTACCCAACAAAGAGATCACATGACAAAACCCTCCAGTTCTCGGGTGAGAAGGGTGATCGCAACGAAGTCACATATTTGTTTCGCATACTTTCTATCCGTGACTTCGTTTCCCAGAAACTCGAAATCGAGAATGCTCTTGTCCTGTTCAAATTCGACACGAGTTTTTCCAGAAACGAAAGCACGTACAAACGAATGGAACTCCACATTTTCGATGTATAGTCAGCGGAAGGGATCTTGTATGGTCGTGAAATCGGTCAGAAGCCGAACTTTACAACTCAAACCGACCGCAATTAGTAAACTGAAACAGAAGTTTAAACAAGCAAGAAGTCGGAAGTTTGGCACTAGACTTTTTTCAGAGTTAGGAGGCATAATTTTTCAACACATCTCACATTTGAAACATTGTTTTTGCCAGTTAAATAAAGTACCGGTAAAATTTATTTATACCGATTGTTTGACTGAAAATAAAGGTTTGGGTTCAAGAGTAATACTATGATAGAAAATACTATGTTAGGTAAGAACTTGGTTAAATCATCATCGTCGAAAGTTTTTGGTTTTTCCAGTTTAGAAAAACTTAAAGGTCGTATTCATAACGAAATAGGACTAAACGAACTGCTTATGCAACCCTCTGCAAAATTTAATCAACAGGTTCATGATGCAATCATTTTCGAAGGAACTTTATTTTCTAAACATTAGAAGTCCGAGAAATCAATTACCTGTGACAATAAAGTGCTGACTACTAATCCTTTCAACCTAACTTTATTCCGTTTATATTCTATTCCCATCGCTTTTAGAAATCAATTATGTTAAACTATGGTTAGCTATATAGCCAACCTAGATAGATCTATATATAAGGCTATACAGTAAAGACTGGTTAAGTGCAAGATAGGATTGACTGGATAAATGCAAGACTATCCCAATCACTCGGGGGGGGGGGGGGGGCACCTTAACAGGAGCAGTGTAATATAATCCTAATCGATTGATACGCTCCTACCAACTGTTTTTTCCCTCAAATCTCCTTCTCTTTCACTCTCTGTCCTTTCTAAGCTCGACTTGAGCCAAATGTAAACAGAGGATAGAAACCTCGACTGGATAACTGCAATGTCTGTGTCCCGATTTTCTTGCACTTATCCAGTCTTTACTCTAGTCGAATAAAAAGACTCAATTTGACCCAGCACAAACGATTTCCATTTTCTTCACATATGTTCTCATAAGGCTAATTTGTAATTTGGCCAAAGACAATCAGAAACATTCACTGGAGCATATACAGAGTGTCCCGGGAATGTTGTAACACCTTGAAAGGGATGATGCTCTTTTCTTAGCGAAAATGTTGTTTCAAATCACCTCCAGGAACCACCCCTTTCAAGGTGTTGCAACATTGTTGGAACACCCTGTATATCCCATTAGGGTCGAAAATTAGGGTTAAATTTGGAACCACACAAGATCCCTTTCACCATACGTATGCTGTTCCGGGGCAGAATAGATTCCCATCGAAACGAATCTATTACGAAACGCTCTCTAACATTCCAGTCGCGAATAATCTCTGTAATTTGCTTTTCCAGCGAAATTCATGCCGGAATCGGCACCACCACCGCCACCGTACGCTTATCCACCACCGGGCATGCCAGCCCAGCTGCCACCCGCGCCACCCGCAGCTCCGGCCGCCGCATCATCAGGAGGCACCGGAAGTCAGAGCGGTTCCCAGACCGCTGGTGCGGCACTGGTCGGCAATCTGAACGGTATACACAGCGTGATGTAAACGGGAGCACTCACCATACCGTACCGCAATACGAATTTTCCAATTAATCTTAAGCGAGTAAAACATCATGCCGTAAAACGAGAACAGACAAAGAAAATCCCGGCACAAAGCCGGCCGCTGCACGCAAGTCCACGAGGAACCGTATCCAATTAATCCCGCAAACTGACTAATTAGGTTTCTTTTCGATCGTACGCGGTAGAAGGGAAAAACGTGCCGACGGTGGAAGTTCGATCGGTGAACGGAACGGTTAACGCGTTAACTGCTGGCAACGCGTGCCACGAAATGAGTGTTCTTCTGACGATCGAGCAAATTAATTATAATCCGTCTCGATTCCATGTTTTTCTTTTTTTCATTCACGCCGCGTCCCGATGCGTCCCGTAGCCTAACAACACGAGGCACACGCTAATTCCTCTGCGCAGTTTACGCGTCAACTTGTTCGCGAGTTCTCTGTAGCTCTTGTTAGAGTCAGTATCCGTCACTTCTGCTCTGTTCCAATTGTCGCGATCATGACGAGAAAAAAAAAGAAGGAAGCCGTAGACCGATAGGGAGCTGAGTCCAGCCTCCGGAACGTTTACTTCGATATCTAAACATAGATTAAGACGTCGATCTCAACTAATCGCGATTCTCCACGCGTATTCCTCGTAATCGATCCTAAATGAAAAGACGGTCTGAGGAAGACGATATGGAGGACACGCTGCCCGCGTCTCAGCGGTCGAACATGTGTATCTATGGATACGCGTGTACATGTACATAAATTATTACGAATTGTCGATGTAAGATTAAACTATGCATATAGGGGATGTGTTGACAGAAATGTAGTACCTTTTTCTAGGGTCGAGTTCCTCGCGCTGATACGAACGATAAAGTTCTTTTCCATTTCGCGATCCGAGGCTCCGTTGTCGAGATTTAAATGGCTCATGCAGTGGAGTCCAAGATAAGCTCCGGAGCACAGGCTCCTTTCCGTGGAAAGGGAAGGTAAAATCGCATCAGTAAATTTTAATTGCTCATATCTCGACAACGGAGCTTCAGATCGCAAAATGGCAGAAGCGTTTCGATTTATTTTCGCGCGAGAAATTAATTCTGAAAAACGGTTCCACACTTTTGTTAACGCCCTGTGTCATATATATATGACTTATAAATACGTGGCAGACAAGCAGATAGAGGAAAAAAAACCCGACAGAGAGAAAGTGAGGGAGAGAAAGAATGATTGTTAGCGTTAAATTTTATTATTCGTCACCGACGGTTGGCGTGGAACTGTTGCGAGCAATTATTGCTGTCGTTCGATGATTTCCGCGTTGACTACGTTCCTTTAAAATCTCACCTTGCAACCCTTATTTTTGTAGATTCCCCTGTAATAATTTTCGTCTCTGCTACAATTTGCACCGTTACTTAACACACGGACACGTTTTAATCTCTTTTGAAAGAGTTTAGCGAAACTCTGATAGCTGTTCGTTGTTTCTTTCTATGAATCCTCGGTTAAATAAGATACCGCCGAAGATAATTCGTTAATGATGGCTGCATTCAGCAGAGACAACTGTCGGGTGATTCTCTTGGATTCTCTGTTTCGATTCGCCTAGTCACTTCTAATAAACGAATCGAAAGCAGAGAATCCAAGAGAATCACTCAACAGTTGCACAACTGTTGCCTCTGCTGAATGCATCCATTTACTCCGCAAATGCTTCCTTTCTTTGTCTATGACAGAACTAGGCGCCACATGGCGCTACAAGGAGACGTGGCCGCATCGTGGTAGCGTTCTCCTGTGGCGCCAATAGTTTACGTGCTCTCCGTGCGCTGAAACGATCGTGTACTCGACTCTGGTCTATGGATTAGTCCTTGTTTATGCGTACAGGCGTTTCACAAACTTTAAATGTATTTTTAAATTATTTCCAACGATACCCGTAAACGATATACGTGTACGACTTCGATTATCTATCCGCGTATATTTCAGGAGCAAGAATAGCTATAACTTCGGGAAGCATTTGCAAGTTTGATGAAATTTGATTATTTTAATGTGTTAAATCGCACTTAAGAAATCTTTCGTTCGGAATCGATCAGACGTTCGATAATCGATGCGTGAGGGTGAAACGCAATGTATGTTTCATTAAATGAATTTTGGCGGTCTTCTCTTTGTTGATCTAATCATCTAATCGAATTTGTCTGTTCGTCTTCCGCGAAAATAATAGTTCAGTTTTTATAAAAACAATGCAAAAGATTATTACCTTACGCTGTACAGTTGTACCATAATTCCCGCGTTTTCAAAATAAAACGAAAGGTCAGAGAATGTTTAAAACGGGAAATAAATATGAATCAAATTACGTGACGGTTCAATCGAAGATTCATTATGGCGATAAGATAGAAACGAAAGATCACTTTGTTGCATGGTATTTGATACAAGTAATACACCTATCTTCCCGATATACACGGTAAAACATTCTATAAAAAACCGTATACACCGAAAGAAAACAAAATTCTATAACTTGGACAATTATTTATTTAATTTAATTCAATGGAATTATAAATATATTACAAAATCCATAGTTATTTATCACTAATCATCGAATGTAAAGTTTTAAAAATTTCTAATTAGATGCTCCCTTCTGCTGCTAACGCTTTATTGTTCCAATTAATATCAATGCTTTTTGTGTAAAAAAAAAAGAAAGCAGTATATTTTAAATTTGATGTTGGTGTTAATAAACGAACGGCACTATAAAATGACCGAATTAAATAGGTGCGCAACATAAATTACAACTTTTGACAGCATTTTCAGAAATTCGTTATTTTGAAAACCGTGTAAAGTACCATGCACGTCGGTGGTTAAGTGTACTCACTATGAACTACTCGGAATCCAGTGATTGAAAATCTGACCTTTCATCTTAAACCATCCAATCGAACTGTCGAAGCTTCCTTGCTCAAAATAAAATTAAAATAATATTGCCCCTTACCTCCTCGACCCTCCCTTTTTCTCCGAGGCGCTTACTGTATGTCCATGAATTGATCACAGAGAAAAAGATGACTACTTAAAATGTTTGTAAGTACGACGAGAATAATTATGCGTAAGATGGCTTCACCACATAGGCAGTTAACGTATTATCACGAGGTACAGAGGTATGAATAATAACCGCGATAATTGGTTGAGTTGAACATCATGCAATTTACTAATTGAGAAATCTATGTTCACCTAGGAGATGATTCTGTCTTAGACGTTACTGTATATTAGCCTTAAATAAAAACAATTACGAAAAAATTTATGCTTATGGTCAATTTTTATATACATGTTATTTTCTCAACAGCTATTCTCATCTTATTCTTTCCTACTCGATTCTTATTCCATTTTAACCACATAGTATTTAATATAAACATTGTTTATAAAGAAATCTTACTTCCTATATCTTTACTTACAAAATATTATAAATTCACGACTGAAAAATTAAATCATTTGATCTGCATAAAACGTATATGGCACGAGTTACACGCTACAAATGAAAACTACGGATTATATTTTCGCATACGTAGGAACTGTCTCGATCAATGTAAGAAATATTTTTGTTAAACCCAGGGTTCCATTTAAGGTTGTTACATTCCTGACATCGATTCTAAACTACCGTGGCGCCATCTACAAGGAGACTCATTTGTCAAAGATTCCGACAAGAGTTTCGCCTCTATGAAACTATTCTGCGCTCTTTCTCTTGTCGACCATTTGTAAACATGGCTCCGGTAAGTTTTCTGAGCAATATAGAATCGAAAATAATACGAATATGTGCAAAGATGTTTTAAAAATTCAACGGGCGTGTGAAACGTCATCTCACGACAATTAATAATCATATAATTGTATTTGTATTTTTTAAATGATTACGTGGATTTTGTTGGATGTAAAACTCTGACATAAACATCGCTTCGGCAGCTAACACATGTGTCTGTTACAAACGAAACAGTTTTTAATTAAAAGGTATTCAAAATGGTAAATTGGACGTTTTTCAGACCATCGCAAAGAAGCCTAAAGGTGCAACCACCAAAAAACAGGTTCTTCGAGGTAAGGGCCAGAAGAAAAAGGTGTCCCTTAAATTTACTATTGACTGCACACATCCTGCCGAGGATAATATTATGGATGTAACAAATTTTGTAAGTTTTCCTTAATATTTATTCATTTTGTATTTTCTATTCAGCCTTACATAAAGCGTTATTAAATTCTCATATATTGTTATTCTAACTTCGCGACACTGCTAACCTCAAAACTATCTCATTCATTCATTCATTCATTTATTTATTTAAGTGTGTAACTTATTATACAACGTTATTGCACTACTGCTTACTTATTACTAGCTTATTTCCATTCTCCTAAACCATCGTCTTACACGACTCCTGCATTGTTTTAATACTGTCTGCAGTAGCTCTTATTTCTCATCTATTGGGACCTGCTAGCCCCCTCTCTAGCTCAGGTACCTCGAGTTGCTAAGCCCGTAGCTACAAACACAGCTACAACCCCTGAGGGGTCAAAACTATCAAAAGTGTTATCAATAATATATATACCAATGTGTGTATAATAATGTGTAACGTTGTTTGTCTTTCCAGGAAAAGTACCTGCATGAAAGGATCAAAGTTTCTGGTAAAACAAACAACTTTGGTAACAGCGTTACATTGGAACGCGATAAGATGAAACTCTCAGTCAATAGCGATATCGACTTTTCTAAGCGGTGGGTATTGTCCTGTATGACAGAGCATTACATGAAAATTAAAATGAAAAAGTATTTCGTTGCATAGACGATTTCACGGTGACATTATTCTCAACAAAATGACCGATATTTGCACTAATTTAGTAACATGTTCGTATAGGTATCTCAAGTACTTGACGAAAAAGTATTTGAAGAAAAACAAATTGCGTGACTGGTTGCGTGTAGTGTCAAAAGACAAAGAGACATACGAGCTAAGGTACTTCCAGATTAACAGCCAGGAGGATGACGACGAAGAAGATGCAGAATAAACTTTGTTTTTATTCCATACACAATTACAGAAACATCTGTACATATTTCTATTAATAAATAATGGAACAAATTTACGTTGAATTTCTTTAAAAAACAAGCATTCCAATTTCTTGATCATTTTAGCAATAATCAGTTTACTACACCTAGTATACCTATTTTGATATATACACAATGTTTCATTTACTATTAAGTTTTCAATTTGTGCAATGATCAATGTATTAACGTTTACTTGTGTCAATTTTATAAAAACAATTGCAACATTTTTGATCGTTTGTTCATTAACCAACTACTGGATCTTGTCTAAAAATAAATCAACTGAAAGTGTTAGGAATCAAATTATAGTCATCGTGACAATTGTAAAAGTTACGTGACGCGATAAATCATGTTTTATACCAATAAAAAAAGAATAAATTTTTATAATTTTATATGCATTACAAGTTACCCTTACGACACAGAGTAGTTATTCTTTACTCTGTGTTTAAGAGTATAAACAAGTACAAAAACCAAACGTTATTTGATGCGTAGTGATAAAAAGCGTATGTTACTCGTTATCATCGACAGAATCGTACCTATCTAAGGCTCCTCTACTCCCCAACAAATTTGATTACGCAAGCACACTTGTATTGTTATGGAATTTACCTAATGATTTGATACAAGTAAAAAGTGTCAACATGTAATTACAAGTCGAGTAAAAGAACAACATACATATATGCATATATACATAGTTACACGATAAATGAAATAGACCAATCATGCAAGGAATCATATTACTTTAAAAATATAATATTCGTGCACAAGGCAAAACAATTTAAATATTATGATTAAAATTAAAATATTACTTAAATATTGCGTAATGTTCTGTAAGTTATTCGTTCTGCAAAGTAATATCGAGGAAACATATTAAATACGTGGTACGAGGGATTCGTAGAGACGGACCTGTCGTATCTATCAAAAACATCTGTAAAACATTCTTCCCTCGTCAGGCAGACAATGCGATAACACTTCGTACCACATTTCGTTCTGTTTTGATGACCTGATATATCGCACGGGGATATTGTCTAATCTCAACGTTCAATTTTCTCGTGGTTCACGAGGAATAACAAGGGACTATTTCGCGATGGCGCAGAGAGCGGAAAGCGGAAGAGTGTCATATCGTAATGCGCAGACGAATTGACGCACGGCGATTGTTGTGACAGAAGTGTAGAAGAGTATCGTATCGTCATCTTTCCAGTTCGGAATCAGCAAAATCCGTGTAAATTGATTGAAAGGAAAACAATCACCAAGACTACAAAAAGAGAATAATTCCGTTAAAATCGCGTTGCTCGTGCAATCGCGCGAGAACAATGAAGTTTATGTACAAGGAAGGGCATCCCTTTGAAAAAAGGAAGGCCGAGGGTGAAAAGATACGACGAAAATATCCCGATAGAGTTCCTGTAAGTAACTCGTACAGAGAATGCTCGTTTTTGTCATTACGAAAACATTTCTCCTCGATATAAATGATTATTAGGGTGAATAATTGATTCGTCATGGAGAACATTGTTTGCCTAACACCATTGAATGAGTCTTATTCATCGTGAGTTGATTCGATCGTGTATCCTAGAATTTCCTGGCTGGAACGGGCCAAGGTCGACTTTTTGCGCCGTATTTCGCTCATATTTCGCGATAATACAAGCATTTCTTCTCAATCGGTGGGCCAATGATTAAATTTATGATAAATCGAACGCTCGTAACGAATTCCTTTGTACGTTTGCCTATTACCCAAGTCTATTGATCTTGCTACGCCCGTGGCTATATAATTTCCCGATTGATAAAAGGTTACGACCGAATGGATATTTTTCCTTTTCGTTCGACTCCGAAACGATTTGGACGCGCGATTCAAGCCGCTTGGAAAATATTATATTATGCGGAATGGAACGTTCGAAAAAAATGTAGACCAGCTGTTGTTACTTCAGGGACTTGGATAAGTGTCAAACGTGCAGAATATGAGACGCGGATTTGAAACTGCTTTGTGATCCTGAAGTTGAGCCAAGATTTAAGCATTTTATAGTTTAGGTAACAACAGAGAATATTCAGATAGAGTGATGTGCAAATTTATTATAAAAACATTGGACCTTGAATAATCATAAATACAATCAAGTCTGATTTACTAATGCATATTCATTGAGAACAATTACTTATGTCACAGGTAATTGTCGAGAAAGCACCAAAGGCTAAAATTAGTGATTTGGACAAACAAAAATATCTAGTACCATCTGAATTAACTGTTGGTCAATTTTACTTTTTAATCCGTAAACGAATCCATCTTCGCTCAGAAGATGCCCTGTTCTTCTTTATTAACAACATCATTCCCCCGACAAGTGCCACTATGGGTTCACTCTATGCGGTAACTATATAACGTATTATTTCAAATTCATTTAAAATATACAAATATTTGTATTCACTATAATCATATTTTTTTCAGGAACACCACGAAGAAGATTTCTTCATGTACGTAGCATACAGCGATGAGAATGTGTATGGACATTAAATTACAACAAAGAAGATAACAACAAAATAAAAGAGCAGACAACAAAAATTTGCCACCTGTAATGTAGTCCTTTTAGAAGCTTTTGGAAGTGTTAACAAAATTATATCTTTCAATCTTTTGAGTGAAACTTCAAATCCTAGCACCGCACACAAAACTAAATTTGCTTCCTTGAGATAAATTGGATATGTTCGTCTGCCAACTATACAAGTATCTTACTTTTTGATTCCATTATTCTCTGCTGGCTGAGGAAGCTTAGGATAATAGGGTGTAAGAAGGACTAATCAGAGCTGAGTTACACGATACTGTGTCGATATTTAGCCTGATACAAAAAAAAATTGGAATACTGAAAGAAGGGAAGCAATTCCTTATATTGCGAAGAGTGACTAACTTTACTATAGCTAAATCTATTATTTCCATGCATTAATGATTCTATTAAAATTATTTGTATTGCAAATTGATAAATTCGTGATTCTATGTAGACGTTTTATGTGATATCACTTTCTTTTTAACTTAGAGTAGTATTATTCTCTTTACACGATTCGATGTTATTTAATCGCAAAGGAATGGAAAGAAATTGTTGAATATGTGGTGAGATAAAAATTGTTTGTAACGGCTGGATGTGGGCCAATAAAAAAATATAAAAACGAATTGTGAGAAATATACATATCCCATACACTAAATCGTGCTTTCACAATCTTGTGAAACTACAATTTCACTATACCAATAGAAAACTGTTGAAACTACATGTCATACATAATTGAACATGTTTTGATCGTAATTCATCTATTTTTAACGTGTTTTCTCAAGAGTACTGCTTTCTATGGCTGTAAGAATAGGGCACTCTCTAGTTTATGCTAGTGCTTGGACGAAGAAAGTCTTTGTTTAACATGGAAGTAGAAAATAATAGTACGAATGTTACGAATAGTTCCATTGAAGATACGGACGTTATTTCTATGTACAATCTCAATCAAGAAGACAGTAACTGGATTTTGACAAATTCGTTTATAATTTTTACTATGCAAACTGGTAAAATTTTTAATTAACTAAATAAATAATATTCCGAAAAATAACAAGAAAGCAACAAACTTTATCTTTTGATTAATTTAGGTTTTGGCATGTTAGAATCTGGATGTGTATCTTTAAAAAATGAAGTTAATATTATGATGAAAAATGTAGTAGATATAGTACTTGGTGGATTAACTTATTGGGCATTTGGTTTTGCAATGAGTTTTGGATCAAGCGGGTCATACAATTCTTTCATCGGCTTGGGCGATTTTCTTATAGATCCTTCTATACATGACAAACTTATGGGCCCAAAATGTGCTGCATTTGTATTTCAACTAAGTTTTGCAACTACCTCTACGACGATTGTCAGCGGTGCTATGGCCGAACGGTAATTATGGAAAATAATGGAACGATTTTATTTACATTATACTGACATTATATAATTACAGATGTAATTTCAAAGCATATTGTTTATTTTCTTTTTTAAACACAATTGTATATTGTGTACCAGCTGGATGGATATGGGGTGACCAGGGATTTTTAAAAAACTTGGGTGCTGTTGATATTGCTGGTTCAGGAGTAGTACACCTTGTTGGTGGTTGCTCCGGTAAACATTATTTTCTTATTTTATAGCAAGTTTCTAGACAAACACTTTAAATATTATTTTACTATAGCACTCGCATGTGCCATTATGTTGGGGCCAAGATTGGGCAGATATGACAATGGAATTGCCCCACTACCTCTTGGAAATCCTGTCAATGCTATTATGGGATTATTTGTGCTTTGGTAAAATAAATAACTGAAACATAATGATTTACAAACTTAAAATTATTTCTATATTTTTCCTTTTCGTTCGACTTATTTATTATTAATAAATGATGATAAAAGGTGGGGCTGGTTAGCCTTTAACAGCGGTAGTACGTATGGTGTTACTGGACAACGATGGCAATATGCTGCAAGAGCAGCAGTTTCTACTATGCTTGCAAGCATGGGAGGTGGTTTAATTGGTTTAGGTTTCAGTTTAACCAATCCAAATGGAATTGATATTCTCAGTCAGATAAATGGTATTCTAGGCGCCCTTGTTGCAGTTACAGGTAAGTTTCACAATAATTACTGCTCACAGACATTAGAAAAACTCGTTACTTTTTTACTTTTATAATGTGAGTTAGGTGGTTGCTTCCTTTTTAGGGCCTGGGAAGCCATAGTTGTTGGAATGGTTGGCGCTTACATTACATGTTGTGTAATGCCCTTGTTAGATAAAATGCATATCGATGATCCTGTTGGAGCTAGTGCAACACACGGTCTTACTTTTATTTAATTTTATTATTTCAGTCTTCATTCGATTTTTTTTCTAACAGTAATTTTTGTACACAGGAGCAAGTGGAATTTGGGGCATCATTGCTATTGGTTTATTTGCAGATAATCCATATCCCCTTGATACAACTAGTGGAAGAAAAGGACTATTCAAGGGTGTGCTGTAATTAAGTCATATTTCTAAACGAATAAATCTTACAAAAAATGTTTGTTTTTACAGGGGGTGGATGGCACTTATTTGGTGTACAATGTTTAGCCGTTCTATGTTTAGCATTTTGGAGCTTTTTTACATCTGTAACTTTATTATGGGTAAAATGTGTTTAAATATTATCTAATACTTACAGTACAATATCTTTTTTAATAGACTTTAAAATTCAATTAGTGTTCCACTTTTAGCTCATAAATAAACTTATACCAATTAGAATGAGTATTAATGAAGAACTGCTTGGTGCAGACTTAGTAGAACATCAAGTACGACACATGCAGGTTTATACTTAAACTGAACTGTTATGTAATTATATTTCAAGACTCTCATACATTATCAAATTCTTTGTTTACATTCTTTTAGATAGGCGTAAGTAGAGTTATGTCTGCTCTTCGTCCACTTTCGCAAGAACAAAAATTAAGTACTGTACATCCAGTTGGAATAAATCCTGGTAAGATAAATTCAATGAGGAACTCTTGAAGAAGCCTAATTAATTATACGAATTAATTTTGATATAGGTCACGATTCCTATATCGAAAAACATAATCGTAAAAATCGCATGAAACGTGGAAAACGATTATCCGTCGGAAAAAAATCGTTGAAAACTCCTCAAATCGATGCGATTGCAAATGCAGTATTGACCGAACAGACTAAGCCGAATTTTGCTTGGATGGATTGATGTTTTTAAATGTTTTCTTCTAACAATTTGTCGAATGTAAATTTATTAGAAACGTATAAATGTATTTGCATACACATTCTAACGCTTTCACACATTATTGTTACACAAACAACGCACACATTCTTTGATAAATAATTAAAATCGTATGCAATTACATATATATAATAATTACAGACACTGGTACATAAGGGAATAAATCTGTTAAAAGATCACAGATATAGTAAACACGTGTAATATGATATTTGTATCCCAAGTCATGTCTAATATCATGGCACATATAAAGATGTCTCTATTATATATTTCAGTTTTGAATAAAATATTTTTATGAAAAGTTACTTATCTTTTTCACTTATTAAGGACGTAATATCGGACGTTTTATCATGCTGTCAACGGCAGGAATTAATCTCTGAATACAGTATTGATGCACAATCACAAAGTAATAGTTTCATCTACCATATTTGATATACTCAAACATTAAACCTATTTACAAAATTCATGATAACCTCGTGCAATAAATGCAAATAATCATTTTGCTTGTTAAAACACGTTACATAATAAGCAGAGCAACTTTTAGAAAATACTTGACATTACTCCAATACTAGGTCAATCTGTATGTGTAGTTTTAATATACAGGATGAGGCAGCTAAACTGTTACAGAGCAATAATGCCTAAACTATCGTGGATACAAAACAGTCTTACAGGAAAAAGTTAGAAGGTTCGAGGGGGCCTATCTTATATGACTAGTGCTTCTTTTTTTGGTTCAGATGCTAAGGCTGGACCAGAAAAACAACTATAGTCATGTAAGATAGGCCTTCTCGAACCTTCTAACTTTTTCCTGTAAAATTTGTTGTACCTACAATAGTTTAGGCATTATTGCTTTGTAACAGTTGTCCCTCACCCTGTATGTAAGCACATATGTATACGTATGAAAGGAATACACACAGTAAACCATTTGTATAAAATATAATATAGGAAACAATTCCGTTTTTCTAATAAATACTTATAGCAAAATGAATTTTCAATATGAAATAAAAAACGTTTTGCTACATTCTAACATTAATCCTTTCCACAAAAGTTTGTGAAAAATATGAATTTGATACTTACTCATAAATTACTTCGTTAGTTAAAATTACAGATGAATGATGCATTACAAATGCAAATTTTCATAACATTTGCAATTTCGTACATTGATTATCACTATTGTATGCTGCTTAAAGACCATTGAGAGACTTCTGTTGGCAGTCCAGGATAATTTTTCACAGCTTCCATGACTTGTTGTGGTGTAAGTAAAAATTTATAATACTGATACTCTTTTTCCACTTTTGAATTCATACCACTCACTGGCATTACAATTTCCAAGTTCTGTAAATGTTTTATTCGTGTTCTTGTTACTCAAATAACTAGAGACATTACTTTATTTACAGCCCTTACCTTAATATGCTCAAAAGCCTTCATGATAACAGGCCTTTGTACACTTTGTATAGATGAATTCTGATTAGCAAATTTAATGTAACGATTATAAACTGTCTCAAAATTTAAAGGTTCTCCTTCATAAATTTCTGTCTCGTGTTTCATTGCTATTATCTAAAAGAATAATATAATAATAATATGGTTCATCATCCTAAAAGTAATAGCAACAAATACACTTACTAAGCACATTTCTAGAACAGATAGTCCTTCGAGCATTAGAACTTTATCATCTTGCGAGAATATTTTACTTGCTTCTACAAAATCGTTTACTTCCAATTGTTGATGTTTCTCTGACAATGTAGAAACAACAACTGCCAGAAAGATTCTAAAACTTGTTTCACTTACATCCATCTGATACATTCTCTTTAACAAATTTACTATAGTAAGATTATTGACTAAACTTTTTATATATTCATTCCACATAGACCAAAATGGTGGATATTCATCATATTGCTGTTCTATGCCATTAACATTTTCATCATCAGGAAGACTGAGAAGATGTTGAAACAGTTCTAAACGATCATCAAATGCAGATGTTGGTTGCTCAGAAGATGATGTATCTCCAGGGAACAAGAATATTTGACGATGAGAAAATCTTGATTTAACTCTTTTTTCTAAAAGTTCTATAACATTCAACCTACAAGTCACCCCTAACACACATATTGGAGCCTAAGAAAGGAAGAATTTAATCGAATTAAAAACGAAATAAACAATAATGCATAATCATTGTCTATACTCACTTGTGCAGATTGAGCAATATCAAACAGGTTATATAAAAGAGTCTGATTGTGGTGTTCACAAAACAAATCAAATTCGTCTAATATAAAAATAACTGGTTTTGAACGCTTTTTGTCACCTGCCTTTAAACAGTCAAGCAGAAAAGTCAAATTCTCAGCAAATGTACCAAAAACCTTGTCGCCCACTACATTTTCTAATTGCATTTGACGAGTGGCATCTTTCAATGCCAAACGGTCATCGGTATGTACAAGACCATGAAGATTTACTATCAAAGCATTTTCTTTAAAGCTTTTTATAGATGACAATTCTTTTAAAACACTATTTATTAGCTAGAACAATAAATATTCATAAGAAGAAGTTATGAATGCACAAAGTTAGAAAGTTTAAATTAAGCTAATAAACTAAACGTACTGTTGTTTTTCCACAACCCCTAGGACCAATTAATAAAGCAGAATTACTTTCTCCCATGTCGACTGTATGCTTTAATAGTTCCAATATATGCAAGCGTTCTTTCCTATAATGCCTAAACTTTGGTTCGGAGCACATAATTTTACGCTTTAAATACTTCCTTGTTGATAATATCATAACATTGTCTTGAAAATCAATAGCCATATTTTCTTTCTTGTTCATATTGTTTTCCCTGATATGCACTAAAAATTCGTTGCTAATTTATTTGTTGATTCCTTTTTTCACAGAAGTTGTTTTAACATACTTAAATTGTTTATAATATATTGAATAATTATTAGTTAACTTAAATGTTCACTTTACTGAAACTATTATTTTCTATTTATATAATAATCATTACAAATGTTAGATATTTTTTAATTTAATCAGTTTGTATATGTAGTTATATACATTAGGATATAATTTGTCAAACGCATAGGGTCCCTGATTAGTCAAATATAACCTATTAATTTTACGAAAAAATATACGTAATACCTTTAGAATATACTTGCTCCAAGATTTAATTCACTTACGCGCATACGGTATTAATTGACGAAATAGAAGATCAAAATATAGGCTTGAAAATTCTAAAATAATAGAGAAATATCAAATCTTCGATTACTAAAGCGTTGGAACCAGGTTGTTTACAAAACAAATATGGAAGACGCAGAATTTAAAACGGACAAGAAGAACTGTACGTTTTTATTTAAAAAAAGAAAGATTCGAAGTACTGCAGCCAGGAAACGTAAAGAAGCGAACTATGAAGACGGTAACTATGTGAAATAAATGCCGAATCTTGCCCTCGTACTTAAATAGTCAGTAATTTCATTACATAAATTTGATTATCTCCTTTCATAGGTTATGTGTTTTATAATATAAGTTTTAACATATGTATTATATTTATATTTTTAAATAGAGAGCAGCGAAGATGAAACTACAGTGGTTCAGAAAGAAAGAAAACATGATAATAATAATCCCATGAGACAAAGTGTAAGTATTGGGAGAAGCTGCATATGTATACAATGCATGTTGACAAACAGTAAGGCTATGCTTATATCAAACAATGATTCAAGTATTTTACAGACTAATAAGAGAAGGTTTAGAGATGAAAAGAAAGTTGTAGACGACAGCACAGACGAAGAAAATATTACTGTTTCTTATAAAAGTACCAGAACTCCTATGCCAGCTGGACCAAGCGACCAAGGAGCAACAGCAATTTTAGAAACAGAGACAGAAAAGGATAAAGACGCGCAGGCTTTATTTGAAAAATCTCAAAAAATAAATGAGGTACAAAAACTAGGACAAAATTACGAGACAGATAAATGTCTTTAAATATAAACAGCAAATGAACCAGTGCGATGTAATCATTTTCAGGAAAATGAAGGAAAAGAGGATGATAAAATTTATAGAGGTTTGAATAATTATACTCAATATTACAAGAAAAAAGATACAGCTGCTGGAAATGCTTCCAGTGGAATGGTACGTAAAGGGCCAATTAGAGCACCAGCTAATCTCAGGGCAACAGTTAGATGGGATTACCAACCAGATATATGTAAAGACTACAAAGAAACAGGTTTTTGTGGGTTTGGAGGTGAGTAGAATAAGAACATTGTTGTACTGGCTAGTAAAATTGTGATCATGATTTAATTTTAATTCAATAATTATGATTTAATTTTTAGACAGCTGTAAGTTTCTTCACGATCGTTCGGATTACAAATTAGGTTGGCAATTAGAAAGAGAAGCTGCTACAGGAGAGTACAACAATAGCGGAGACGAAGATGATAAAAAATACGAAATCGATAGCGACGAAGAAAGTCTTCCGTTTAAATGTTTTATTTGCCGAAATAGTTTTACCGATCCTATCGTTACAAAGTACGTGTAATTTTTTTGCAGACGTAAACATTTGAATTCTGTCGAGCACCTAATAACACATAGTAACTTTATGTTTCAGATGTAAACATTATTTTTGCGAAAAATGTGCGTTAGAACATTATAAAAAAAGTACTAGATGTTACATATGCAATGTACAAACTAACGGTGTCTTCAATCCAGCTAAAGAGTTAATTGCACGGGCGAAAATGGAAGAAAAAGGAAAAACAGTTGAAGAAGACGATGAAGTTTCTAACCAATAATAAAGCATATGTTTTTACTGAATAATTATAATTTTATTGACTTTACATACCGGCACTGATCATTTCCTTCAAGTGACGCCGATCATTGTGGAATCGAAAGTAATAAATAAAGAATATAATACTTCAACAAGAAATTGATGTGATTTATTAATACAATGTAAACATAAATAAGGGTTAGTTCTCTTTGCAAATATTACAGGTAACGTTTGGTTGGTAGCTTT